TCTTTCAATACCAGATGCATAATCAATCTGCACAGTATACTTCAATTCAGCATGCGTTGATTGTAGATTATGTGTACAAGGTACAGACCTACATACTGATGGGTACGTAGAATAATTGTGATACTGTTCTTTTGAGGAAGGAGTAACCTTAATAAATGTCTGAGGGTTACATATTTAACACAGAAACACAAGGATAGTGTAATGGTTGATAGTTCAGGTCAACTTGAGAATTGAGAAGTTTAGAAGTTTAACTAAGAAATTCAGCAGGGGTTCAGAGGCCTCACTTTGCAAACATCCTCATCCTGTGCAAGAGGAGGGCATGGAGATGGTGTGAGTGCTGCACCCGCCCTAGGGGTGGTAGCCTGCTTATAATATAAGAGAGGAAAAGAGGCTTGCTCTCCCCACTTTTAGTTCTGTTGCTTTTGCTTTCTTTTGCTGCCATGAACTATTGCCCTCTGCCAAGTCACCCTGCCTTAGCACCAGTTGATTATGGACCGCAACCTCTACAAACTGTGAGCTAAATAAACTGTTCCTTCCTTTATTTTGGTATCAGGCATTTTGTCTCAGCAACGAGAGAAAAGTAACCAAAAAAGGTAGTAAGAATAATAAAAAATTTATAGTGTTATCTAGTACCTATCCACCTTCTATTTTAAATTTCCATTGTTTGAGGTAATAATTCACTTTTTGAAGACAGATTCTATGTAGGTTGCATTCGAATCTTCAGTCATACCTAATAATTCCTGGACAAATAATATAGATTTTTCAAGTACTTGTCAGTTTTGCTGGTTGAACATCTGTTATTAAACTCTTCGTATGTGTCCATTGCTATCCTAAGTTTAATGTGGAATACATAGTTTTGTTTCTTCTAAATGAGACTGTTGTACACAGGGAACATTGGCAAAGTCTTAAGACTCTCTTTGACTAGATTAGACTTGACCAGACTCTAGTGCAAATAAAGGAAATAAACTTGGAAAAATAAGATCGTTCCATATTTTTTAAAACTTTGAAAGTAAAGCACAAAAGACTTGATGTGGTAAAGAGGAAGTCTGATTTTAACTCTAAATAAACAATGTCAAGGGTAATGTTAAGGATAAGAAGAAATGTTTATTGTATCATCAATTACTTTATTATATGGTAATTTAATTGAGGCATCAATTGGCCTACTTATTCATTGATTAAAATTTTTCAGAGGAAATTACATACAAGAAATTTGGGTTTTATAGACAATGTAAAAATCCAAAGATAGCTGAGGCTGAGAAATTGACAAACTGGTACATAAAGGTCTCATATATCCTGATACTGAAGAATACACCAGTACAGAAATTGTTTATGCTTAAAGTAACATATCATGTATTTATAAAAATATTTAATAATCTCATTATTGCATTAATGATAGAATTAGAGTTTTTATGATATTAAACAATGCCAGCCATGGGGATGCTCATGGTTGATTATGCTTACTTTTTGATGTGTTATTCTCAAATCATTTGATTGTTCTAAAGACTTTGCCTCCACAACTTACAAATGAATACATAATTTTATTATCACAGAGCATAGTAAACCATGACCATTAAATCTGAGAACATTTATATCTACTGAATTGAGAAATAAGGTTTATTTATAGAGAATATCCTGACAAGTAGTCTCAGATATTTGGACATCAAAGGTAAAATAAGGGAGACATTGTAAGCAGGAATTGAACATAACCGTTATGTCTGACATTTGTGGGTTAAACCTGCTATTGAAAAAATCAGTCTTTTTTTGTGAATTGTAGATATGAAGAAAGAAGATTTTTTCCTAAGTAAAGCTTATCCATTTAGAGTTAAAAGGAATTAGAGGAGTGTATTCTCTTTTAATTGATTATCTTCCCTGAATTTTCAATGATATTATTATAATTTTATTGTCAGACAGACTTACCCCAAAGTGGATTAATAGTGGCCATTTTATAAATTCAAATATTCAACCCAACATTATTATTCTAAGATCTCCGAAGAATTTTTGCTTTTGTTGGACAAATACTATTTTGTTTAAGAGTTTAAAAAATGTAGCATGTTCACCATTTGGCTTTCAAATTGCTGAAGATTTTTGTCAGACTGCCATTATTACTGTGAAACCAAAGTCTATGGTATTACTCAGAGGACAAAAAAGAACATAAATTTATTATTTAAAGAAACTTGCAATGGTGGAACTTGGGAGACCAACCAAGAAGCAAGGAGCCAGCCTTCCTGATAAGTGGCAGGAGCTGTGGGTGAGCTAAGGAGAGAACAAGTCAGTGTCTCCTGGGAGCCTAAGGGCACGCCCCCCACCCTTAGCAACTGGATGGCTTCGAGGCCAACCTCAGTTGATAGCAACTAAGGTACGTAAAGCAGCTAAATGCCTGTATAGTTTGGTTGATTATGCTGACCTGGGGCCAGGGGTCTGAGACTCTTGGGAGGATGACAGTATGCAATATAGCAAATATGGGGGATTTCCTTCTATCTTGTCTTGGAAGGCCAATATTGTTATCACTGTTTTGCTTTGTTCTGATTAATTGTTTTGATCTATTTAATATTCTCTTTTGATTGGTTTTATAGTGTTCTGTTTTTGGTTTGATTTTACTATACCTGATTGAATGGACAACTATTGTGAAGATAACGAGATATACTATGATAGCTATTATTGTTATCTTGGTATCCTGCTCTGAGGTCCTGTGCCAATTTTACTGCATTGTTTTGACTGGCTTTGTTCTGTCTTGTCTTGTTGCATTTTACTATCTTTAAAGTAAATTAAAAATTTAAAAAGTAAAATGATTTGCAATTGTGTGCCATGAATCCATTTTCATCTCAATAATAGGGCATAAGCCCGGGTATCTCTCATGAGCTAAAGAATATATAAATTTCTAAACTAATAGAATCACTTAGTATTGGATGGGGAAAGAAGGAAAGAAAGTAAAAACTGATCAAATATACTATAAGATTTCCAATTTCACAACCTGTGTAGAGATTCAGCTTCCACTTCCTCCTTTTTCTCCTCCTCCTTCTTCTTTTTGATTTTTTTTTTAGACTGCTAAACTCAATTTACAAATCTTATTAATTTTTTCTTTGAAGTCCTTCTTGATTCTGTCTCATCCTTCTTGTTCATGATGCCTCGCAGCATCTACGTGAATCATATTCTTGGTCTTAACTTTCTTTCTTTTCCAAATATTCCTTCCCCAAACCACAGTTCCATTGTCTCCAAGGGATATTTCTATGAGATTCTTTTGCTTAAAAATTCTTGACAAATTTCCGTTGTTAGCTCCTCAAACCTCTTATTCTGTCTCCAGAATCCTTCATAAGCTTTTCCTCTAATAGCCCACTTTTAACCACTTTTCTTGAAATTCCCAGTACACTCAAACTTATTGTCGTTCAAGTAGACTTTATCTTTTTCTTCCTCCCTCAAAGTTTTTTTTTAAAGCAGATGTATATTGTAGCTCCTGGAATATCACCCTGGTTGCAACCAGAGATATGCCATAAATCCTGCCTGATACAAGGGAGGATACACAGTCATACATTCATTTTAAAGTGCCTCATGCTCAATATATTCTTCCTTTACCTCACACTGCCTGCATTTTTTTCCTTTCTGAATTTATAATCTTTCTTTTGACGAAGCATTTAAATTTTTGAGAACAGACAGCAAGTCTTCCTTCTTCACTGTACATTTTTTTTGAGATGCCCTTTGCATAGATATTTTTGATTGATTACAGTGGAAAGAGTCTCATTTGGATTTTTGGGGGTGCAAATGAAGTCGTTATGATAGCCTAATTATTCAAGCATTGTCTATCAGTTCATTTAGTTTGGAAAATGTTTTCCTAAAAGCAGTTATTTATTTTTTATTTTTTTTAATTCATCAGTGTAACCTCCATCCATCTCCACCTGGCATCAGAGGACCTATGTAGTCCTGTTGCTTTACTTCCTAAGTATTTTCCAGATCTCTGACCCCTCTGCTGTGCATTCTAGTGTCTGTTGTCTGGATTTGAATTCTCATATATTTCATCTAGATCTTTCTATTTCCTTTTTTTTGTACCAGGATTGAATTCACCACCTTGCACTTACCATGCAAACGCTTAAACATCTGAGCTAAATCTCCAGCCCTAAATATATCTTTCAACACACTATTTCTTGCTGTTAGCTGTCCTCCACATCTCTATAGGACTGAGCGAGCATATAGAGCTGCTTTGAAAACTTCACTTTTAGCTTAAAGTTAAAAGTTCTCCAGAAAGTGGAAATGCAGTGGCGTAGCTTTGCATATAACCTGTTAGATTTCATTCTTGGGTATGCAGAATACAAAGAAGTAGATTTCTGGAGATAGGGAAGAGAACAACCACACATATGGGGTGTGGGGGAGGGTGCGGGATAAGATAATTGATATTAAAGCATGTATTGTACTCAGGGAGGCTGAGACAGGAGGACTGTCATGAGTTCAGGGTCAGCCTGGGCTACGTAGTGAGACCCTCTCTCAAAAATCTAAAAGAAAAAAATGCATATACTGACTTACCCAAATAATCTCCATCATCATGTAATATTAACATGACTAATAAAAATGCAATAATAAAAGTATTCCAAACTTCTACTTTTTAAAAACCGTAGTTGTGTTATCTCTTTATTTTTTTTTTTTTTTTTTTTTTTGTTAGTGCAAGTCGATTATGCACTAACTTCTGCTGGGTGCATGTGTTAAGAATTGAACTTACACCTTTGTGCATGCTAAGCAAGCATTCTGCCACCAAGCAATCTCTCAGGCCCAGTTTCTGCTTAGTAGGAGAAAAATACAGAGGTCATATGAGAAATCATGCAAACATGTTTTATAAAGAAGAAGAAGAAGGAATATATAACACTATTATTTAGTGGTTTTTGTCTACTATGTATTTTGCAACTCATAGGCATCAGTTAAAGTTGTTAATTAATTGAGAGTATCTTATTGCTGGCTAGTTAGTGGTAAGGACGGAAGCAACACTTTCTAATTTTTTTTTTTTTTTTTTTTTTTTTTTTTTGGTACCAGGGATCAAACTCGTAACCTCATGCTTGTCCAGCAGATGCTTATGCCACTGAGCTAAGTCCCTAGCTCAACTTTCTAATTTCTTAGCATTACAACTGAGGTAAACTGAAGAGCTGTAAATGTTACTAGTTGATGAAAGAATACCCCTCTGTATGATCTGTTGGGTTAGTGAGGTCTCCCTGGAACAAAACAATTATCCACACTTATCTGAAATTTGCCACTATCATGCAAGGGAAGCGTGCTAATATTATGTTAAGATAAGTTTTGTTTTTCAGTCAATGTGAGGAAAAAGGAACAGACTAGAGATGAAACAGTTTCCTTGTGGCTCTTGGAGTTAACTGAAAGACAGATTGTTCTTTGCAGTGATGTTACTCATGCTACTTGATTAAGGATTTGAACACTTTTAGAAAAGTCAAATTTCAAACGCTTATAACATTTTTAGAAAAACCTTGTACTGAAACTTGACAAATTGTAGCTCAGGGTGAGACTAGATAATTACATGAAGAGAAGGAAAAAAGTAGGCACAGATAAGCCTATGGAGGAACAGATTCACTTTTAAGAATTCTTTGTTTGTTGGAGATTTTCTCCAGTAAAAAGTCAAACTGAGTGAAAACCTTGCGACTTACATGTACTAGTCATGAGATAATGTGAACACAGTAAAATTTAACCAGTGTTTTCTGTTATGGGACAAATTACTTTTAGTTTATTTAAACAGAATACTTTCACAGTGATTTTACTGACTTCTAATTCTTTGCAAAGAGGATGCACCTAGAGAAATTTTAAAAGACAGGAGGAAATATAAACAAATGATAAATTCAGGGCAGGACCTTTGCTCTGGACACCTTGTTTTGTTGCAGCTGTATTTCATTTCTTTTTACTGCATTTTTAACAGTAGAAAGCTTGGCTGCTAGTTAGTGGGTTCCACTCCCCCTCTTTTTCAGGGAGAAGCAGGGCAAAGAAATTATGATGTGTGCCATATTGTAAAAGGAAACATTTGCTTAGAAATCTGTAGCTGACATTTTTATGCAGGATCTTATGCTTTCAAGGCAATGAAAAGCTGGACAATGTTTTCCTTTGAGAGTGTGAGGAGGATCTCAAATGAAAATGGACCATATTTACTGGTATCTGGTAAAAATTGGTATGTTTTGGTTCCTTTTCCCACTAGGTGTGGGTTGGCCACAAATATTGTGTGATTAAGATTGCTACAGACCTGGAGTTCATCCTGAATACTCTGCAGAGTTTGAACACTTAGATTTTTACCTTTTCATGGAATCTTTTAAAAGTATTTCTGATAGTGTTTTAGTAAAAATATGAAGACATGGAGTGTTCTTAGAGAATTCTGTTGATATAATTTTTTAAATCATTTATATGTTTAAGTATTTGAAATTTTCTTTTCTAAGGCTCACTAAAGAATGATATATTTTTGACAAATTCAACATTTCATGCAAGAATCCTTATGGAATTGTCCACAATCAGCTTTCACCTCTGCAAGCAAAATATTTGTAGGTAAATTTTGTGCTCTTGGCTTTTTCTTACCCTGGCTTATTCGTTTGTGCATAAGCAAAGAGCTTAGAGCCTCAGATCCTTGTTTGGACTGTTTTTGTGCATTCAAAAAAATTTTGCTGGGGATTTAGCTCAGCAGCACAAGTGCCTGTCTGGCATGTGCAAGTTGTGAGTTTGATCCCCAGTACCCCCCCAAAAAATGTTATTGATGTTAAGATCAACTATGCATCTGAAATAGTTAGGGATACGATTCAAAATCATACTTTTTCATATGTGATTTAGGTATTTCTATTAATTTATAAATTTAAAAATAGTTAAATATTATAGCTTCTCTTGGAATCAGCAGTTAGTATCAATATAATGCCCAAATGAAAAGGTTTTTGTTATGTAAAACTTAATTAAAAATATTTTTCTCATTCACAAATGTATCAAATGTCTTTGGTAATAATAGTTTTCACATTGAACTTTAACTCCTTTTAATTGGGATTATTTCTCAGTGTCTATATCATGCATTCATTCAAAAAGCATAGTATAAAGCAAACCTACAAAGCCCTGAGAAAAATAGTAAAGCAGAAGTGATCCCTCCTCTCACAGTGGCATGGTTTAGTGGGATAGACGGGCATTAAAAATGTTTGTCCCTGCCAAAGAAATTAAAATACAAGCGCCACAAAGGGACAAAATGTACCAGGGTCCTTAAGAGTCACTGATTTAGTTGCAGGGATGGAGCCAGGGGGTCAAGGAAGACTCTTCTATGGCAATGACCAGTAAGAGCTGGGCAGTGACTAGGAACTGGCCAGACAGGAGCAGCCAGGGGGATAGTAACTAGGAAAGTAGTACCAGGTGTGGCTGAAGATGTAAATAGGTGGCCACACACAAGATTGGGGAAGAACTGAAATTTATCCTAAACACTAAGATATTTCATTAAAAAAATTTTAAAAATCTTTATTACTGTGTTTGCAGCATGTGTTTACATTTCTTGTGTGGAGCTGGCCCGTGTGCATAACACATTTTAATTCCATTTTTCATCCCCTATGTGTCCCCTCCATCCTTGCTCCATCCATCTGATGACCTCCTTCTCAACTGAGAAAGATCTATTTCCATACTTTTGATTATCCATCTTTTATTTTGTTCTTTTTTAAAAAAGATTTTTGAGCAAAGAGTGATCTGTATTATATTTAAATTCACTCAGTTATTAGAAAAAATTATAGGCCATCACAGTAGTCAAGCCATAAATTTTTGGTTTATTTCCAGGGTCAGTGGCAGTGAAAATATAAAAGATGTGACTGGATGGATGCAGTACACTGTGGTCTGAGTCACAGGTCTTGGTAAAGTTTGGAGGTAAGAGTTAAGCATGAAAGAAATACCATAACTGCTGCAAGAATTTTAACTAACTAAGGTGGTTTTTAGTGACATTTGTAGGGAAAACGAAGTCAAAAGATGGTAAATATGGGGTAGCTGATCAAGAGATTCAATTTTTTTTTTTTATCTGTACTGGAGATCGAACTCATGACCGCCTGCTTGCAAGGCAGGTGCTTATGCCACTGAGCTAAATCCCCAGCCCCAAAAGATTAAATTTCAAAACCTTAAATTCAGAATCCCTACCACTAACTAATGATGTCAAATATATAGAGATGTCAGAATTGGACCTTAAAAATTTGACAACCCCAGAACAAAGTGCTATGAGCCACTGAAGCTGGAGATCTGTCACATGTGTGGAGCTTGAGCAAGGCCTTTCAGAGAACAAACACCTCCTCGGGTGAGCCACATTGAACAAGCAGCTCTCGCTCAGAGAACACCAAGCCCCACAACATTCCAACCAATGGATTACTAGGCAAAGGGGTGTCAGGTATCATTATCTCGCTAAATGTATAAATAAACACCCCTACCGTGGTTGAGCAGTTCCCTTCCTCCATCTGGAGAAAGAGCTCCACCTGATCCCAGCTTTTTGTGCCTTGTCTTTATTTACTTTCTCTCTGCCCTTCACTGTCGTCATCCCAGGAAGTTCAAAAGCTGCACAAGTTGGAGCAACAATGCAAGGTTTCTGAAAGCAGAGGGAATGGATAACATGGCTTAGTGTAATGTTTTGCAAGCTGGTGGGATATAGAGATGCAGGGCAATTATTTAAAATATGTAATCTTCAGCTTTACCTCAGACCTACTAAATAAGAATCTATGGGGTTGAGACGTAGCAAGCAGTGTTTTAATATGCACCCAAGTTGCTTCTTAGGATCAGACATATTTGAGAACACTGAGGAAGGTGAGCATACAGACCAGGCTCAGGAGAATTGTGCCTTTTAGTGGTAAGAGAGAAAGAGTTAAGGTGTGAAATGAGAGGAAAGGTGGTGGAACCAAGCGAATATTAGAATTTCTGAAGACTGGCTCAAAATTGATGCTTCCAGCCCCATCTGCTTATAGATTTAAGAAAAGATCCCCATCTGATAGCTTTATTTTACGTTTTTACATTGCATATTACTTCTGAAGATATCAATATCTTTATTCAATATCAATCTCTATGTGTGAGACTCTACATATATTTTACCAAATCATAAGATACAAGGTAAACAGAATTAACTTTGCTTTTCCTGCATTTAAAAGATCATCTTCCTAGAATAATACAGTGCCTAATCAACCAAGTAAGCACATTTGGACCAATTCTAAAAGTTAGGGATAAGAACTCTAGCTTCAAAAATGGAAGCAACAGAAGTCTTTCTGCTGTATGGTATTTGACCATTAGAATGTGATCATTTACCATCATAAACAGCAAATGAAAAGAAACTATTAAGTTTTCATAGGAGTTGTGGTATTCTTTTCTGTTAAGTTCAGTATTCTGTTTTGCTGTATTTGGGTCAATTTTATTTTCTAGTGTGTTATTAGGAAATCCTAGGTAAAGTTTATTTAAAATTCTTGGTCTTAGTAGAGCTCAGACTACTCAAAGGGAAGAGGAAAGGCATACCTACATTTCTGTGTCTTATCCTTAGACCTCAGGTTCACTTCAGATTATATTTGTTAAAATCAAAGCAAACTCATATTATTTGCTTGCAGATTTAAAGTTTAAGCAAGTAATTAAATAGCACAAACATATACACTGAATATGTGATCGCTATGTGAGTGTTGGGAATTGTCTGAGTTTATTCTACTTTCTGCCGTCACTATCTAGTGTTTGTTAAGTGAAGGTGGGTTTAGCTGATCTGTGTTATGTCTATGTGACATGCATCTTCCTTCTTTTTTGGCTCTATTCTTCCTTTTAGGTCTTGACTTGTAGCGCTATTAGAAAGCCAGGAAGTCAGCCAGAATAAAATGAAGCCCAGGAGATTTTTTAAAACAGCATTTATTTAGGATAGTAATTCCAGTGGCAGCAAATCCAGCATTAGCAAAGATACTTTTATTATGTAGGTCTGAATTCCTTGTCTGTCCTGCCACACATAAACCCAGAAGAAAAGAGTTAGCAGATTTATGATTTGCTCTGTCTTTGAGATGTTACTTTAAATACCCAATTCATAATTCTCCAGAGTGAAATATCACCTAATGGGAGATCAAGGGGCCATGATGACATTAGAAGAACAGAGTCGGGCTTCTGTGTGCTGCATAGCTCAGCTCATTTCTACAACTAAGGATGGAGTTTTAAGTCTCAGAAATATAGTCAAGAAATCTGATTCTTTATTTTGCTTAATTTCCAATTAAGGTAACGATTTCAGCAATTTGAAATTGCTACTCAGCATTGTACTGGGAACCTCATGGTAAAGATATGAACTTCCTGGTTTGGAGACATGTCAAGGATGTTTATACTGGTAAACTTGAGTGTAATGAAATATGGAGACACTCTCCAAACTTGGGGGAGGAACTAGTTATCAAAAGGTATTTGGATTTCATAGCACTAGCTATCTCTATTTATCCATTAACATTAGTGACTAACATCTCCCTTAATAGCTTTTGAATCTCCAATCATTTTGCTGCCCAACATGAGAAGAATATATATTATTCCAACTTATATGGCATTGTTGGAGTAGGATTACAAAAATGCAAGAGGGGGTACTAAGAGCAGAAAGAGAGGGCCCCGCTTCCTTTGAATCTGCCAGGATGCAAGGAACATCTTCAATACAGAAGAAGTAGTTATGAATATAGGACTAAATTAAGTTTCAAAAATAAGAACTCTGGTTTCTGTGTTCATCATCTCTGAAACTCAGGGCCTGTATCTGTTAAACCGAGGCAAGAAAACCCTTCATGTTTATTCCACAGGGATTTTGTATAGATAAAGTGAGATTGGGAAGAAAATACTGTATACAAATAAAAAATAGTTTCTTGCAAATTTGCAAGTTTTTTTTATTAAAATAACCAAGTGAATAACATTTCAAGGAAAGTAAAACTTCAGGTGTAAATAGAAATAAGAGTATTAATATAGTAGAAATTGAGGTAATGGAATTAGCAGTACTGACCATCATTTGTTGAACATCAGTGTTTGGTCTATTTTCAGTTGCTATCACAAAATATCTGAGTGTTGGTACTTCATGAAGAAAAAAGTTTACTTAACTCTGAGTTTAAAAGAAGCAAACTTTAGAAAGTGTTACTGGTTACAAGCTATCACTGAACTTAAGAGATCTTTCTCTCCAGATGAATGTGACTGAAATAAATCCAACAATGACTAAGATTTGGAAAGATTATACTACATATTTATTACAAATTCAAAAGTACAAAAAACACTTATTGACAATATCTTTAAGAACATTAAAGCTGTGTACTTAAAAGATCATAAATATATAGGGTAAAATAACACAAATAATCAATGGTACCATCCATTGTAAGATATTACTGAGAGAAAAAATTTATTGCAAGATCTATTCAACTAGAAATAGATTTAAATAAAGTAGTGATCTCAATAAATTAATAGCAGACAATCCAAAAAAAGTATCTAACAACCAGTAAAAATATGATGAAAAACTATTAACATATTTCAATTGAAAATAAAATATCATGTTTTATCTATTGAGAGGACAAAATCCTAAAAACTTAAACTTGATAAGTCTTTCTGAGCCTGGCAGCCAGTTAGCTATTGGTAAATGGAAAGTGACAGATATAATCTGTATAAAAACTATTTGGAAGTATCAACGAGTAACTTCAAAAGTTTTAGCTTTTGATTCAGCAGTTCTATTTCCAATAAAGAGAAAACATAGGTTAGCTATAACTTGATATTTTTATTTTATTAAATTTAAGAGAAGGCATAAAATTTAATTTTTAAATAAAGTTTTACATTTCTAATTTTGTAAGTGAGCAGTTAATAAGAAACTCATATGATATTGTTCATAGGCATATGAAGTTCAAATAAATTGCATGGTGCTAAGGAATACACACATTTTGTGTGTTCATTAGAGAAATAACTCCAATAGACCAGAATAAAATTATTACAATTTCTAAAAAGAATTTTACAAGAAATTAAATTTGGCTTAGCATATCCTGAAACTGTAAAACACTAAATTTTTTAAGTGTTTAAAATATATTATTATTACCACTACTTTTCATAGAAGTAAATTTTGCACTATCGTAATTCTATTGTAATATTTTCTTAGTTACCAAATAATCTATGCTCGGAGAGATAATATTTTGGCAACCTACGCTGTTGTTCCTTTCTTCATAGTCGTTTTAGAAGTAAATCCTTCAAGGGAACATTTTTTAGCTTACTTTTTCATTATTACCAGAGGCAAAAACTGGCAGGGCAATTTATAATTCAATTTTTGCTAAATCCATGACACCCAATATATATGTCAGGCATTTCAACGGCAGGGTATTTTGGGGATAGGTGATAAATTGTGCTGATTATAAATGCAAGCTGTTCTTCTAAAAACATCGTATCAAAAGGAAGGTTAGTATTATTAGGAAAATGTGAAGTATCTGTAGATTGTCCAGAAACATCAGAGATAATCACTTCACATGAATATATTCCCCTAGGTGCTACGTAGCAACGTACTAAGGTTCTCACTATGTTTTCGATAGCACTCATCTGGAGAGAGGGTAAAAAGACCCTATCAGTTCACAAACCTATCATGGGCTGGTAGTCTTTCAGCAACCACATAGCTCTTAGTGCTGCAATAACTCATTCCTGCCAGAAATGCCTCCCTCTGAAACCCGAAACATGGTCCTAATCATTTTAGGACCGTGTTGGTATATGTGTGTAGTATAAATGTTATTTTATAATATAATCTCCTGTGATCTTTTTAAACATCCTTTCAGTGTTCCAGGTATTTCCCTAGGTGATATGTGTGGTTTAAGCAAAGCCATGAAATCCTTTAGGTTTTTCTCCAAAAAATGCTGGAAAATGGACAATTGAAATACAAAGGCTGCTCTGGT